CCTCCTCCTCCTCCTTTCCTCCTCCTCCTCCACCTCCTCATCCTTTCCTCCTCCTGCTCCTGCTCCTGCTCCTCCTCCTCCCCCAGGAAGTGCTCCGGCGAGGGAGGGGTGGATGGAGGAGCCGCTCCGATGGAGGAGCCGCTCCCTCCTCCTCCACCCTCGTTCGGTGACAACTCCTAAGAGCCTCCCATACCATCATGTTGCCCTTGGCGAGTCGGCGCTACTCGACTCGAGCCGACCCTACATTGATGCCAATCGAGGCTAATCGGCGATGCTTCATCTTCTACCACGCGCAGATCGGCGCGACTGCGCTCTAACAACGGGAGGGGCAGCTCAACCCTCGCTTTCCTCCCTCCTCAGAAATCCGCGCGGAGCTCCAACAGTTTCTGTGCATGCTGTTTTTTTGTAAAAAAAATGTTCGATCCACCTGTTGTAAGTATGCTACTGGTGTGCGAGGGCGCAGGCTCTGGCAAGCACACTGCCCACTCTTCCCTCCTGCTGCTCCTCAGTCTCCTTGGCTGTGTGTCCCCTGGCGGTGTTCCAAAGTTTCAGTGGCAGTGCGAGCGGCTTCGCTGCGCTGGCTAAGGCCTCCTCAGAGATCCTGGGGACGCCGCGAGGTGCCCCAGGGGGGGGGGCTCCTCCCGATGGTGTGGTCCCTCTCCCCGCTCGGGACGTCCCATATTCCCCGCTCGGGGAGCTGATCGTGGACCTCCTCGCTGGAGGTGGCACCGCTGGTGGTGGTGTCGCTTGGCGTTCCCCCGAGGGAAGAGGAATGGGAAAATGAGAGAATCAGACGCAGAGCGAGGGGACCCCGAGAGGGTGAAAGGTGTGCAGCGCAAGCGCACCGAGTGCACGGCGCGCGCCACTGAGACGCGCATGATCGGTAAATGTACACACAGACCAGGCCACACTTTATGAGTGGACTGTGCAGCCCAGCAGTAAAATGCTCCCTCGTGGCACCATCCGGTGGGGAGGCAGACGAACTGCCAGCTGACTCCGAATCGACAAGCTTCTGTCCGAACTAATTGGCGCCGCCGACACGCACACCTGCCTTCTGAAGCCACCATCAAACAGCGGAACCATGCCAACTGCCAAATAGATGCCAGAGGGCCTACAGGGAGAGGGGCGAAGGCGGGCAAGCAACCAAAGGGCACAGCTTCCACCCCTCAGTGAAAGCCAGGAGGGGGCGGCGAGCAGCCCTGCATGGCAGGGCAGCGACACTGCGACCCCGGCCGCCGAAGGCCTCTTGGGGCCGCCCTGGGTTGGCCCTCATCGTTTCATTCCCACCTCCTCGCATCTATGCCTCTGCCCTCCGCATGTGGAGCACCATACGGGGTTCCACTTCAGGCACCAGTGGCTGCGATCGCATACGTCTGCCATACTCCTTACGGCACACCCCTCACACGTTTCGTGGCCCCATAGGGAGCTCTACCTCAGACCCCAGTGGCTGCGACCGCATGCGTCCGCCATACGGATTTCGGCACACCCCTCACACGCTTCGTGGCCCCATTGGGAAACTCCCCCCAAGGCCCCAGTAGCTGCGGCCGCATGAGTCCCCGACAATGATTCCGGCACACACCTCACTGGCTTCGTGGCCCCATAGGGAGTTCCATCTCGGGCCCCAGTGGCTGCGGCCGCATGCGTCCGCCAGATTGCTTTCGTCACACCCCTCGCAAGTTTCGTGCCCCCACAAGGAGCTCCACCCAAGCACCTATGCGCCCCCACCACCAATTTCGGCACACCCATCACACGTTTCGTGCCCCCATAAAGAATTCCAGTAGCGACATCCGCGTGCTTCCGCCACCATCACACGTTGCGTGGCCCCATAAGGAGCTCCATCTAAGGCCCAATAGATGCGGCCCCACGCCAAAGATTTCGGCACACACCTCACAGGCTTCGTGGCCCCATCGGGAGCTCCACCTGAGGACCCAGTGGCTTGAACCGCATGCATTCCCGCCACCAATGTTGGCACACCACTCACACGTCTCGTGGCCCGAGATCGACCGACGGTGATATTTACAACGACGGCACTCACAACTGTATATGTATTGGTCCCTTGCCAGACGAATTCTGCCGAGGGGGAAGGGAAGGGGCGGTCGCCGTGTCTCGGGGGGGGTTCTTGGGCCGTCTTGGGTCCGCCTTTGGCTCTGCCATTTGGCGGTGCGCTGAAAGCCCGATCTCCTCGCGCCGTGGAGCAGAAACGAAGGAGAGAGGTGTCGGCGGTTTCTGGCCTCTGGGGGCACCCACTGGGCCCCAGGGCCGTCAAACACGGCTCGGGCTGAAGAGCCAGCCCTAGATTGGGCGTTGCTTCGTGGGACAGCGATAAGTGGGAGAGGAGAAACGTGCACTTTTCAGCCCCCTTTTGGGCCCAGGGGGGCCCCTTCAGGGCCCCTCTTGGGCACGATTTCCCCCCCCCCAATTGGTCGCCCCGCCATTACGCAAGGCCCGACTGGATCGGGGACGCACTGAGCCGATTCAATTCAAAACTGGGTCAGTCGGGCTTTGCAGTATCCGGCAAGATCCTGCAAGATCCTGCAGGATCCTGCGCGCTAGCCTGGGTCAGTGCAACCTTGGCTTTGCAGGATCTTGCAAGATCTGGCGCTCTGGCTGACCCCCGTCTGCATTGACCACAGTCTCAAGGCTCCGGACTGGAGTTGGCGGCGCGCACAAAGGAGTAGGGGGAGGGGGGGAGGCTTCTTAAAAGGAGGCTGTTTCTCAGAAGGCGCCAGCCCTAGATCTACAGAGAAGGCCCGCACCTTCTAAGAAGCAGAGGTTCTTATGACAAGCCCTCCCCCCTCCCCCCACTACTCTTGTGGATGCCACGACAGTGGACACCCTAGCAGTCTTCGAACCATGTTGTAAAAGTGCTTTCACATGTTTAAAACATGTTCAATACATGTTCTAGAAATCCGGAAATTATTTGGCAACATGCTTCCTTTCCATTAGCCGACTTCCACAACCCTAGATCTACAGATAAGGCCCGCGCCCTCTAAGAAGTAGGGATTCTTATGAGAAGCCTTCCCCCCTCGCCCCACTGCCCCCTCCGCGCGTGGCCGACGGAGTAAGGGCCACATGGAAAAGACCAGAGGCATTCCGGACGTCCATTGAGGATCCCAGGCGAGGAGGGCGCCCTTCGGAGAAGGCTCCCCGCCTCCTGCGGGAGCCGCCCCGCCTTCCTCGGACCCCCGACGTCATCAATAGTTGTCCATGACGCTGCCCCCCAGAGGTCTGGACCCATTTCTCGGGACAGGTTTTCCATCCCAAACCATTTTGTTGACGGTCCCAGGGCCCGGTAAGGGCACCCAGAAGTTGAAAAATGCGAACAAGAACTCCCGTCGTGATGTTTCCATGACTCGAACGGGTCTGGGCCCATCGAACCCGGGGAGCCTCTCGAGAGGGACGGGCTCCCTCCAACGAGCCTTCCCGCCCTCTCAAGGATAGCCTGGTCTAGGGCCCCGAGGCCTCCCCCAGGGCCGGTGTTCATCCCAAGTCGTTGTCTGACAGCCGCGGGAGCCCAGAGAAGGCCTCGAGAGGCCTAGAAACGCGAAAAGCGCACGACCCCTTTGACAGGGGATGTGTCGACCCCTACCCCAGGCTCTGGGATGCTTTCGAATGGACTAGAAATCAGGGGATCAACCCTGGGATCTACGAGGGGGGGCGTCCAGCCTCGACAGGCGTGCGCCCGAATAGCTCCCCTGGGGTGCATCCCAGGGCTCTCCCGTTCTCCCGAGCGGCCAGACTTTTCGGGCGGAATTCCAGCATTGGGGACGAAGCATCGCCTGCGACCCTCAGGGCCCCCCAGGAGACAGGAACGGGAGGTGCAAAACGTGCGCCTCGCGCGAGACGTCCCTACAACCTCGGCGTTCCTGGGCAAGTGAGAGCAATACTCCCGAATGGATTCTCCTTGGGACGCCCAGGTGCCATGACTGCAACATCGAGGTGATCATGGAGCTCTCAAAAGACTGGACTCAGAGGTGCCAAACTAGCGCCTCGCTCGGGACATCCCTGCAATCTGGGCGCGAACGGGAAAGCGTGAAACTCCCTGGCGGTTCCTCTTTGGGGCGCCCAAGTGGTATCACTGCTAAACTGCGGTGATCATGTTCGAGCCTGAAGAACTAAGAGGAGCGAGTGTGAGTAGGTCAGAATGTCAGCGACCAAGTAGGGCCGTGTGTTCTGAGTGTGAGCCTGATTATGAATATGACGGGGTCTGAGTGTGGTAAAGAAGAGTGTGAGCGGCCTGAGCATATGTGCACGATGATAAAGAACCGATATAAGCGAAAATGATTGTGCTGGGTCTGAGTAATTATGAGTGAGTCTGAGAATGAGTGGGTCTGTGCACCAGTGGATATGAGTCAATGTGGTCTGCGTCTGAATAAGTTGAGTGCGGTTGAGTCTGAATGAGTCTTAGGATCAGTGAGTCTGAGAACGGGACGCTCAGTAGAGGATATTGAGAAAAGACTGTCGTCTCGGTTGCTGTGGGGACACCCCGGTCTGAGAGTTTGGCGCGCCGACGGACTCTCTCGGACTACGGTGAGACACGCTCTGCCTTGCAAGCCGATAGCGCGCGATCTGCTCCATGGGACGGAAGGCTGGGACAAGCTCGGAACGTTGATGTCTACGGCCGAGACGTGCTTCGTTTGTCGCGCTGAAGCGTGGTTCGCCAGAACCGGCGACGCAACACGCTAGCTGAAGAAAACGTTCCCGACCGCACTGAGAGGCTATCCGGGCTTCTGTGCAACTCATGAGAGCCTCCCAAACCATCTTGTGCCCACAAGGCCCCCGAACCGAATCGGACTCGGCGAACGGGACGCGTGCGGGCGCGGCCGAGCGGTGGCGCGGCGCCAGTGGGAGGCCGCGCGCGTGGGTGCCGTGGCGCTGCGGCGCGGCCGCCCCGCTGGCCGCGTGCGGCGCGGCGGCGACGACCGGGGCGCTCGTCGCGGCCGAGCATTTGCGACCGACCCGGGCGGCCCCGTGGCCGCCAGGTGGCCGCCGTGGGAAACCTACTGGGCCTCCGGGCCCCCGAACGGCAGCGCTCCGGCCAGCTGCAGCCCCGGCAGCGCGGTCGGCAGGGCCCCGCCGCCTCCGGACCTGCGTGCGGGGGCCCCCTGCAACACATCGAGGACAGTCGGACTTGAATGGACCAGGCACCCGAGAGGACACAGGACTCTCCCGAAGGCAGTGTGGCCCCAGAACACCAAAACGGCATGCGGGGGTTGCATAGCTCGGGATAGACAGGACACACGGGTACCCGCGACTTGCATGGTCGACCTACCGAGCAGGGCCGACTGGTAGGGGATCGGCGACAGAATCGATGCACCCCAGAATTTACTGTGTCGTCGAGCCTGCGAGAAGATCGTAGAATTCTCTGTATACGTCGGCATCAATTCAGCGCGCTCGCCGTATATTCGACAAACCAATCAATCAATGTTTGGGCATATCGATTCTGTAGTCGATCTCCGACTCGAACGCAGATTCCTGCGTCGTGGGATAGATGTCCCAAAGGCCCAGGCGGCTCGAACAATGTCGCGACGGCTGGTGTCCCGCCACCCTGGCCCTCGGACCGTCAAGAGATGACCCAAGGGATGCACAGCCCGCCCAGGGAAGTCTGGGTGGCCACGTCACGAAGAAATCGGGCCGCCCCACTTCTGGGATGGGCAGGCCAGAGCTTTGGCGGCATTTGGAATGCTGAGGTCGGTGTGTAGGGGGGTTGAGCGCCAATTTTGCCCAGATGGACTCCACCGCCACCAGACCTGCAAGGGCCATCGGAGAACCCTGGGCAAATCCGGGCGCCCCAATTTGCCTACACCAGGCGTTTCCGCCTGGTTTCGGGGCCCTCACGGATCAATCAGTACAGAGCCTCGGCCGCGATTGTCCAGTGTTGGATGTGACGTCGGATCTCAGGGGGCCCAGATCCCCTCGCGCACAATGAAACGAATCACGGCGGAGGGCGTTTGAGCCCAGTCGGCGTCTGAGCCCCTTCGGCCACCAAATGGGCAGCAGAATGAGCTCAATCCCAAAATGCCAGCGACCAAGTGGGCTTGATCCTGAGCTCGCTCGGCGGCTGAATGGACATAGTGGCCGTCAAAAACGTTTCGGGATGAGTAGCCCGTCTCGAGCTCACAGAGGGACAGCGCCGATGTGACGGTGCGGTGGGACAGCGCCGATGTGACCAGATCATGGGACCCCTGAGGGGCCCTAAGATCCTCCCCGCGGAACGCTGTCGACGTCGAGTACTCTTTCCCTCGCGCACGCGAAGGAAGCGACCAAGTGTATAGCAACTGCGCTGGTGCACAGTGCGTAAAGTTCGATCCGAAGACCCAGCGCAGGTGGCGCAACACAACTTCGTCACGATCGCGCCGTACAGAGGGCCTGTGCAGTACGAGGCGGCCTCCGCGCACCCGCTGATGGTCTTCCCGATGGCCAGGGCGGCCTGCACAATATCGGCGTCCTCTGGCGGCGCGCAGAGGAGTGGGGCGAGGGGGGCCTCTTCTCTTAGCGGGCGAAGAACGGTATAACAGTAACTCTTCTGCAATGGACGGCGCCTCTCCCAGGGCGGCTAGAAAGTTTGCACCCCCACCTGCCGTCGTAGGGTGTAAACTTCCCGTCCGCCCTGGGACAGGCGCCCCTGACGGCGGACAATACATGCTCTTCACCCGCTTGAGAGGGCTCGGCAGCCTCGAAGAAGACCCTCGGAGGCCGGGAGAGCTGAGCAGCCCCCTGCTACCTCAGGAGGCCGCCAAACCGTCGCCCTTCCCTGAGTGCCGGGGCAGCGAACAAATTGCAAACACTGTAGAAGATCACTGCCAAAGCCTCGAACCCCGTCTTCCTGGGCCCGCCTTCGAGCCGCCGCATCGATCTGCGACGGCCCCTCGGGGCCCGAAACGGAGCGAGAAAACGCCTGCTGCGGGAACCTCAGGGGACGCCAGGATCTCAACGCCCTGCGCGCCGCGGCATCCTTGTCAACGCAGCCGGCCTCGGGCGCGCCCTCCGGCACCGGCGGGGGCGCTGCGCCTGGCGGGGGCGGCCCAGCGTCGGACGGCGCCGGCGGAGGCGGCGGCGCCCCGGCTGCGAGGGGCGGCGGGGCGCCGGCGGGGGGGGGCGGGGCGCCGTCCGCGGCGGGGGGCGGCGGGGCGTCGGCTGGCGCCGCGCCGGCCGCGGCCAGGCCTGGGTCGGCGGGGAGCGCCGCCGCCGCCGGGGCCGCCGCCTGCGCGGGGCTCCCCGTCCACAGGTCCTCGCCGTCGGCCGTGGTCCGCTGCGTGGCACCCCCGCCGGTGAGCTGGACGTGGGGCGAGGCGCAGCCCTCGCCCGGGACGCAGCCGCTCACGTCGCTCCAGGGGCAGCCAGGGGCGTACTGGGCCTTGGCGCTCGGCGGGGACAGAGAGCGCTGCTCGAAGTAGGGGCCCACGAGTCCGACGCTGGCGACCGGCTGGTCGTCGCAGCCGGTCCCCTTGAAGAACTCCAGGAAGGCTCCAGACTGGGTCTTGATCTTCCCCCACCCCTCCGGAACGCCGTCTGCGTTCGGCAGCAGCAGGCTCCCCAGCTCGATCGTCTGGCCCGTGCTCGGGTTCACCACCTCGCCCTTGAGCGCTCCATGCGACGCGTTGTGTCCCTCCACATGCAATCGAACTGTGTACTTGCCGTTTGCGTCGATGGAGAAGGGGATCTTGCAGTGGCCGCCTGTGCCCTCCCCATCGAATCGTTGGCAATTCGGGCCGAGGGCCTCGACTTTGTGCTCTGGGTCCAGATCCCAGCAAGAGAAAATGGCAGCGTGCGTTTCTGCTGGAGCTGATTGTACACCGAGCACGTCCATGGCGCCAGCGCTCACCACCTGCATGCCGAAATAGCCGCCACCACCTGCCTCTAGGCCGAACTGCAAGGACGCGAAAACACCAACGCCCTGGCCGACGGCAGCATGCGGAACCTGGGTCCAGACGAAGTCCACCTCGATGTCGCCAGCGACGGCGGCGCTCTCGGCCTGCGCGTACTGAGCGTACAGACCGGGCCGATTGCCCTGCACTTTGCCGAACTCCTTTTTGATGTCCTCCCAAGAGTTCACGTCGTCCCAGTCGGTGCTGGACAGCATCTTGCCGATGTTCTGGGCGTCGATCATACCGCCAGCCATCATACCTTCTGGGCCGCCGTTTTGCGCCACTGCCTGAGCCGACTGGTTCATCCTATCCAGGAACCTGGCAGGAGAGCCCAGAATCGTATCGATAAGTCAGAAAGGCGATCGAAATGACTCGGCTCAGCGGAAATCGGAGACCCCACATCGGGAGAAGCCGAATTGGCGGAAGCCGTCCGGCCAGCATTGAGAAACGGGCATTCAAATCGGAATCCGAAGTCGGACCGACTCGGAGTCGGAATCCATGGACACCGAATCGGATCGAATCGGAGGCGTCGAAGTGAGCCCGGACCTGGTCGCCTGAGCCCCCACGCCGCGCGCCGACTGGTTCATGCTCTCCAGCAGCTCCGCCGCCTGGCCCTGCTCGGGAGCGGCCACGAGGGGGGTGTCCAAGAGGAGGGGGTGCAAATCATGACCGGCGGCATGTGCGCGGCCCAGCGGGGGTGCCAGGGACGCAATGAACTAAGAGGAGGTGCCATGAACTCTGGGAAATATCACGGCCCCCGCCATGATATCCCCCCCCCTGGTCATCACCCCCCTCTTTGCCGCCCCCGACCTGCGTGATGCCCGTCAGGTTCACGCTGGCCAGCAGCCCTCCCGCCTGCCTCTGCGTCTCGTTCGCCGAGCTCTGCAGCCAGTCCACGTACTCGGGCCACCTCTCCTGGACCTGCGGGCCCACCCCCACGTCAGCGGGCCCGGCTCCGGGCACGCCGCCGGCATGGATTTGGAGGGCGGAACATCCACCCCGACAATTTCGGGCTGTGCGCAAGAGTGACCCGGGGCAAGGGTGACCTTTGGTGCGCGGCATTTTGGGGGGCCGCGCGGGGACCAAACCTGAGCGCGCAAGCAACTACTACTGTTTCGTTTTCAGCCGTCCGGGGACTCACCTGTGCCCGCACCAAAGGTCACTCCTGCGAAAGGTCACTCTTGCGTCTAGTCGACAATGACCACCCCGACACGCGAAGCCGCTTAGTAAACGCACCCAATGAAGGAATCGGACAGGGCAGGGCTGTAAAAGAACGCCCAGGGCCGTTTGGTAAACGCCGATTGTCCGGTCCGGGTGGTTTCTCCTCCCTTGAGGACTAAGGTAGGAGGCCCAGACATGGGCGCCAACACCAGCACAGGGGATTGCCTCCACGTGGGGAAGATGATCCTAGATTTCGGTGTTGGTGGTAATACTTCGGCCACCTTGGAAGCCAGAATCTTACCACCATCACCGAGATCGGGATCTTCTTCCCTCGGTGGAGGCACACCGCCGAAATTGGTGGTGGTGGTGTCAACCTCTAGGCCTGCGATAAGGGGACCCATGGATCTGGCGCGTGGGCGCCAGATCCACGGATCGGGGAACGCACCCCCCTCAGCATGGAGCACGGGCCGCCCAGTTTGGCGACGGTGCGCGCCGATTCTGCACGGAACCGGGCCCCGTCGATAACTCCACGCGCCTTGAACCATTGCTGCGTTTCCTCGACGGACCCCCTGCGGCGCGACGAGTTCTCGAGACGTGGGCCCCAGGACCTCTCGACCCTTCTGCGGGGCCAGCGTTCCTTTCATGGTCGAGGTATGATGGCCCTGGGGCCCGCAACTGGCCTCCAGAGGGCCAGAGGAGCGAAAACCTGGCCGTCTCGGTCTCTGCTCGAGCCGACGGATCTCTGGGGGCTTGTGGGCCTACAGCTTTCAAGGATTTCGGCTGGGGCGCTGTGTTCTAGGCTGTAGTCCGCTCGCTGGCCTGCTTCAGGGTCGCGTCCGACGCGTTCTGCAGCCAGCCAGCGGGCTCGGACCAGCTCTCCTGAACCTGCTGGCTCTGGTTCCAGCCGTTCACAACATGATCCTTGGCGGGGTCCGCAAAGACGACGAAAAACAGCATCGACCAGCCTATCAACGTCTCCACTAGGAGAGCGTCGGCCTCGCTGGCCAATGGGGATCGACGAGGTATCCTTCGGGTCTCGCAGCATCTACTCCACACGGGGGATTGGCTGGTGACGCCAAGGTACCCTGGCCCAGTGAGGAAGGGGATCAGTAGAATTAGCGGTGCTGGGAAAAGAGAGGACAGGGGATGACGAACAAGCGCCCCCCAAGAGAATTTCAGCACCTTCATGTTACACTTCCTGATGTTCGCGTGTCGTCCCTGCGCAAGGACTGCGCGGAAATTCTTTGGAGCAGCCCATCTTTCTTGGGTGATCCCCGAAGGTGGTCCTTGACAAGGCGAAATTGGCGGAGGAGGAGGAATAAGAAGCGGGGGGAGGACAAACGAGCATGAGAAGCAGCCGAAGCAAGCATCATGAGAGGGAACATAACAAGAGCATACGATGACATGGGCGATATCCGCCTCCTCCACCACCTCCCTATCGGCCTCCTCCTCCTCCTCATCATCATCATGCTCATCCTCCTCTTCCTCCCCATCCCCGCCACCTATTATCTATCCTCCTCTCCCTCTTCTCCCATCGTTATTGCATTCCCCTCCCCCTCCACTACCTCATGCTATTCCTTCCTACCCCTCGCACCTCCGCCTCAATATGTTCCAAATACATCACCATCCTTCTCATAATCAGCATCAGCAGCATCATCGTCATCATCCTCATCCTCATCCTGATCGTCAGCATCAGCATCATCACAAGCAGCAACATCATCAGCATCATCTTCACCATCAGCAGCATCATCATCATCATCACCATCATCATCACCCGAAGCATTGGATTCATCAGCATCAGCACCATCATGGTCAGCATCATCATCAGCATCATCATCAGCATAAGCATCATCATCCCCGTCATCATCATCGTCATTAGCATCACCAGTAACAACACCATCATCGTCAACATCATGATCGTCATTATCGTAATCACCATCATCAGCAGCACCACCATCATTCGCAGCAGCATCACCATCATCCTCACCGTATTCAGCACCCTCATCATCGTGAGTATCCTCACTATCATCATCATACTCCTCATCAGCATCAGGAGCAATATCATCACCATCATCACCACCGTCATCATCAGCAGCATCACCACCATCGTCATCATCACCATCACCACCATCAGCATCAGCATCGTCATCAGCCGCATCATCCTCATCCTCATCAACGTCTTCATCACCACCAGCACTAGCATCATCATAACCACCATTATCCATCATCATGAGCTTCACCACCTTCATCATCATCAGCATCATCATCATCATTGTCATTACCATCGTCACCGTCATCATCAGCAACATCATCACCATTATCTGCATCATATTCATCATCATCCGGAGTAGCAGCAGCATCAGCAGGCGCATCAGCGTAATCATCACTCACTATCCTCATCATCGTCCTCCTCATACTGGTCCTCCATCACTATCATCCATGTATCCTGCTGTCCTCCTCCTACTCCCCCTCCTCCTCCTCCTCCTCCTTCTCCTCCTCCTTCCTTCCTACACGTTCTCCCCCTACTCCTTAAGGTAAAGGGGGGCGGCGCAGGCGAACGATTGGGGAGACAAAGACATGATTCCTCATTCCATTATCATCCACGCATATGTGTCCTACACCTCCATGTGGTTGTCTGGCGATCCTCCTCAGCCTCCACCTCCGCGTAGCCCTCCTCAATCTCCTCCTCCTCCTCCTCCTCCTCCTCTTCCTCCTCCTCCTCCTTAATACGCCATGATATGCAGAGCGTACGGCCGTCGTTCGAAAGTCAGAATGTGAGTTCAAGTGTTTTGTAGCTGAGCCTGAGGCAGTGGGCATCATACAAATCCCCCATAATGAACCAACGACATCGAGCCAGTGACTAGAAATTGAAGGCAAACTGTTGCTTCGTCTGGGGGATATCATGGATCAGAAGGCAGTTGGATTCAAAACGATGTGGGCCCCACATGCCCCAGACATGGGCGAAATCGAGAAGCTGATTCTTCTCAAACGTGCTGAAGCTGAGTGTGAGACGGACCCTGAACCAGAGCTCAACCCTGAGCAGGTCTACCGGAACGATGGGGCCATGAAGACCCGCGCGGGCCCGTGAGGTTGACGTCCTCACACTAGTGGACTCCCAACGCCTACCTCACGAATCGATCATGGCGTTCACCGAGCTCCTGGGCAACGTGGAGTCTTTGCCGGCATGGCTTCTGCAGACGCTCCTGATCGTCGGACACGCGGCGCCGAAGAAGTCAACAGGAGACAAGTCCATCGGCATGATCTCCATGCTGGGTCGCCACTGGTCGCACAGACGTCAGCCGATGCTGTGCCAGTGGTCTGCCGAGGAGGCCCAAACGTGGTATGCGGCGGTGGCTGGTAACTCATGCTTGCAGGAGGCATGCCGGCACGCTATTGTCGAGGAAATGACGCATGCAATGAAGATGGAGTTCGGTCAAGGGCTGCTGGACGTGCAGAAATTCTACGACACGCTGCCGCGGCTGCCGCTGGCTAAAGCGGCCCTCCGCCTGCATTTCCCACCTGCCTTGTGTTGCATCTTGGGGGCACCTTGTCTGTTCCGTCTCGCCGCGATCCACGTCGAATCCGTATCAAGCCCATGTCGAGCGCATCGAATCCCTGTCGAATCCATGCCAAATCCTCGTCGAATCCACCTCGGAGTACAAAAGAAAACTGCCAGTTACAAGACAGAAAGGTCCCCCGAAGATGCACTTGCCATCCGATATTACAAACTTCACAACACGTTGCGGTTCGCACGATCGCCCAAGCGCGCGCGGTAGCCAATAAGTTCGAACCGTGCCAGTGCGCTAGTCAAGGAGTACGGTCGGGGGCAAGATCAGGCGAGCTCCAAACAATACACCACCACCAGCCCTGACCAGGCCCATCCGGGGCGTTGCACTGGTATGCAGGCCCTCCAGGCCTAGGCCTGGAGCTTGATACACTAGTCCAGGACCCAGGATGGACCTGACCAGGACTGGTGGTGGTGGCGTCCCTCCGAAAGATCGCCAAAATGCTCACGCATCTTATTATGAAAACTGCGGCACCAACGAACCCGATGATGTCTCGCCGAGCTTGGACCGATGACAGTTGTGAACAGGCCGTCAACTCCAGAAGACTGCATGAGCGAACACCTCATTCACGGAGCTGTCAAGACTGGCCAGAAGCTTGCTGAGGTTGGGCTCAAGCTGGCCAATAATAAGTCCATCATCATGGGCGCTACTCCTGCTGTGGCCAAGGCGGCCAAGCTCAAGGATTTCCAGTGAAGGTCGCCCATCAGCCAACCTACCTTGAAGTCGATTTCAGAAGTGGCAGCACGGGAAGGACAACACGGACACAACTGCAGGCCAACCAGAAGACGATGAATGGCAACATCAAGAGGTTCAATCGCGCCCCCAAGCGCTATGGGCTGATGACGCGGCTCGAGCGCAACGAAAGCCAGACAGCAGGGACATACGGGTTTCAGATACATGGTATCTTCGGACATTGGTCACATGCAAAAGTGGAAGGGGTCAGATATGTGCAGCAGGGACCAGAGGAAGGTCCTTAATTACACTCTTGGACGTGCGAGCCCCTTGGGCGACCCAGTGGTGTACTACCCCATGCGTTGTATCGACATGTGGCTCACCGATTTGCAAGCACGCCCTGAGCCACACCATAGGCATCCGCCATGTTTGTGACAGGGTCCATGCTGAGATGAAGAAGCTGGACACCAAAGATCAGGTTCGGGCAGTCCGAGGGCCTGTCCGGCTACTATCCTGACCCTGCTGGGACTCCACTGGTGCACTAGCCAAGCTTCAGTACGACTATCGCCTCATAAAATGGTACAGCCGAGGGGTGGCAGTTCCCCGATATTATCTGCACAGGCAACGTAACTGGACAAGAATAGCGATCTCATCAAGAATATCATATCGTCAGTGGGACTGGTTGTTTGGAGTCATGCTGCACATCAGTATAGCGGGGTTGAAATTGAGCATGGTGTGGACACTTACTCGTTCAGATTATGGTTGATAGAAGTCGGATGTCTACCCCACGGAGCCCGTCTTGCCGAGCTGCTGGTCAACACTGGCACCGGAGGTTTCTGGCTGCGAGAAACGAAGAAACAGTAGATGATGGAGAACCACACAAAGGGGAATGAGAAGTGCGGCCGATGCATGGTGGAGTGCGAGGCGGCTTCGACAAGGTCCTGAAGGTGCGACGAGAACGAGGGAGCTCTCCCTTAAACCGAGACCCAGCAAATGTCCCCCGAATATCTGACACGGGTCAAAACAGCAAAATGCTTCTGACTCACGGCCTCATACGAGCTGGTTGGACTACCGTTCCCGACCCGCCAGTGTCCGCAAGTGGGGAGCTCACAGGCATTAGCGCCTTTGCCCAAGGGATCCCTGGAGCTGGCACGGTGGAGGGGCCCGTCGATATCTTTTTTTCTTTGGGGATGCGAAACGGCGGAACGGACTCCGGGCTGCCGCGTTTCCGCCGCGTTGGTGTTGCCATCCTATTTGTCGGACAGATTATTCATGCAGTCGAAGGTAATGGTACGGTGTTCGGACCACATGCTGGGGCCCGCCCGCCAAGTCGTAGCACGTGGAATATTGATAGCACTACGCCGTTCGTTACGGTGCACTGACAAGACAATTACGTTTGCTACGGATTGCGACTAGAAGGCTCGTGGGTGGTATTCTCCAACTTTCTTGACACCTGAAGTAATCACAATCATCCATGAGTCCTCCTCTTTCTTCCTTCCCTTCTTGCCTCCGCCTCCTATCCAATCGACCCTCGAAGGTGGGATGCCGAAGACGTGCCGCAAAAATAAAACGCGGCAGAGGCTAGCACTTGGACAGGGGAAGAATATGATTTCACCTGCGCGCCTTCCCCAATCCCCCGCTGTCCACATTGCCATATTCTCCTCGTCCTCCTTCCCCTTCCAGCCCCTTCCTTGTCTTGTGGCGGCTTCCTTCCCGCTTTCCTCCAAAAGTGCCGCGTTGAGCCGCCCGGCGCTCAGGGGGGGGGGGGAAGGGGGCGCGGTGAGGGACCGAACCCCGGTGGTGCGCACCGACGATGTGGACCGGCAACGCCCCGCCCTTGGATCGTGTCTCAGTCCGCGCTCAACAGGCTGCCGAAGCTTCATCCGGCCAGCCGTTGCAAGGACGGCCGCGGCACCGCCCCCAACTCCCGACGCGGCGGCGGACCACCGAACCGCCGTCACCGCCGACGGCGAAGATCGCGGGAGGGCGCGAGGCCGCTGGTGCCGGGCGATGCGACGGCGCGCAGCGGAGGCGCAGTTGCGGCAGCGAGTCGGCCTTCGGCCGTGGTGAAGCTTGCGCCGCCCTGGACCTGTCTGGGCAAGGATGAGGTCGGATCCTGGCGGGGGCGGGTCTTGGGCGGCAGGCGCTCCCCCTTTAGACGGCTCCTCCATGTCAGAGAGTCGACATGTTTCGCTGCCCTGGGTGGGCCAGGGAAGACCCTAATTAGGAGCCAGAAGGCCGCGAAGAACTTGGAGGACCCCACCTCCTCCAGGAGGCGTTCTCTTCATGGCGACCGTCCCCGCGAGGCCCGCCCGCCTGGCGCGCCGCCCGAACTCTGGGGCGGTGAGGATTAGAGGCTGCCTCGGCGTGGCGGCGCGGCCACCGTGCCGCCCGAGGCTCCCGACGGCCGACGGCCCGGGCGACGACCCCGACAACGGCCGGCTGCATGTGCCGACGGCCCCGACGACGGCCCCGACGCTCCCGACGGCGCCACCCGCTCCGGCCTCCAGCCCGCGCCGCCCAGGCCGGCGTGGCCGCAGCGGGCGGCCCTCCCGCCCCGCTTACCACCTCGGCGCCCCCTCCGGCCGGGCGGGCCGCCGGGGGCCGGGGGGCGAGCGGCGGGCTCGAAACTGGCTGTTTGGCCCCCTGGGGGAACCCCGGCAGGAGGGGGGGATGGAGGAGGGGAGGAGCTGCAGCCGCGGCAGGGGGAGAGGAGCGGAGGCTCCTAAGGTCCCTGCAGAGCGAGCTCGCCACGGGGGCCCAGCACCTCCCAGCAACTGCCTACCGTGTGGAAACTGGGCGGAACGACTGGGAGGCTGCCCCAAATGGACTCGCCCCGCGACCTCTCGAGGGCCCGGGGGGAAGGGCATCGTGGAGCTCTTGAACCCCCGCGTGGGGTGAGGTCGCGGGGGGGGGGGGGGGGGGCAGCGGGCAGCGCAGGCCTCGCCCCCGAACGATCTCAGCGCATGAGAAGGGTCGGCGAGCCACGCCGACTGGCGAGGCGAAGGCTGGGGTTCTGACGCTGCCGCCGACTACTGTTGACGTGGGCGGCCTCGTGTTCCGCTCAGTCGCGAGGCAGGACGGCGCGACGAGCCTCACCGCTCGGCCTGGGCGACGTGCGCTGCGCACCACATGCAGCCACTGCTGGACGCCAGCTCGAACACCGCTCAACCCCGCGTCTATCGGCAATTACCGCGTACTTTCTCTGCGTGTGTGTGCAAAGCTGAAGCGCTCGGGAACGCTGGGGCCTCGACGCTTCGCGCTGCCAGGGCGCCGCCTGCACCGCGCCCCCCCGTCCCGCCACGGTGCTCGGCGCGCGCACGGGTCAGATGCCGCGTCGTCCTCCGCGCGGCCGCTGCGGCGGATGAACACCCCTCGCGTGCGCCTCCAAGCTTCGCGCCGCCCCTCTTTCTCTCCTCGCCATGCCTCCATCGCTCCCTCTCTCTCGCCCTCTCCCTCCCTCATACCCTCCTCTCCCCCTTCCCTCCACCTCTCGTGGGTCGTACTGGAGCCCGCGCCTGGAGTCTTCACCCGAACACAGTTGATAATTCCCTACCTAAGCTCTGCCTAGAAGGGTTCTTACTCTCTGGGCTTAAAGGGGCCGGGCAGTGGAACGCGCCCTGGGCGGTTCCCCCAGTATCCGCCCCGCGCTTCCCCCAGTTACGTCCCCTTAGCTTAGCGTCGCTTATCTCATCTTAGCTTAGCTCATTTCATCTTAGCTTTGCTTAGCTTCATCTTAGCTCAGGTTTATCTTCGCTTAGCTTACCTTCATTGGCTTAAAGGGTCCGGGCAGTGGAAAGCGCCCCGGGCGGTTCCCCCAGTCCCCTGGGAGCCAAGCAAAAGCAACAGCAAAGGTAAAAGCAAACGCGCGGTTCCCCCAGTTGCGCTCCGTGGGTGCCAAGCAAAAGCAAAAGCAACAGCAAAAGCGAAGGCAAAAGTGAAGGCAAAAGCGACGGCAAAGCAACAGCATATCATAGCATATCATAGCATGGCATAGCGTAGCATAGCGCAGCATAGCATAGCGCAGCCTAGCATGGCATATCATAGCATAGTCTAGCCTAGCCTAGCCCAGCATTGCGCACATTAGCATAGCATAGAATAGCATAGCATAGCGCAGCACAGCATCCACTATTGCTGCTGCTATGCGTGTGTGGCACGTATGTTCCATGCATGTGGTCCGTCTGGGGGCAGTGCAGTTGCTACTTAGTTGCATGCATGTTTACTGCTCATACTAACGTTGCTTTCCTAGAGGCTCTCACTCCTAGGTAGGGTCGCACTGGGATACATTATGTTTTCCTGATCCGAGCGGCATTGTCGTGCCCCCCGCACACTCTCCGAAGCGTTGGAGCTTTCGAGTTAGGTCTCCAGGGCCCGGGATTCATGTGAATCCGATTTCTGAAGCCCCCCCCCAAAAAAAACAGTGTAAGCCACACTGCCCGCTCTCCAGCCCATCCTCCGTCCACTCCGCTCCCCCCCCCCGACTGACAAATGCCCGAGTGTTGTGCGCGTGCTGCACAGCGGAAGACTATCCTGCCGAGACTCCGCCGCGCGACTTTAGAAGAGATCGACGACGACGGCGACGAGGAGAACGAGGACGACCGCGACGTCGGCGTCCAGCGTGCTCATCACCTCGTCCAGGCCGAACTTCTCCTCCGACGACGACGGAAGACAAAAAGCGACGCAGAAGACGACAAGGCAGGGGAGAGGACGAGGCACGCGGAAAAGTAATTACGAGGGGGGCGACAACGACGACCCCTCCTCCCAAAAGCGACCTCCATAAGTTACCACTCCTGGCGCGAATTCTGGCAAGGATCTCGGAGCGGATCTGGCTGTGGCGACAAGGCCCCCCCCAGGGTGCGAACAGAATCACCGAACGCCTTGAAAAGGACGAAGACGGCCGACGACCGACACCGACGACCAACGACCGACAACGACGACGAACGACGACGAGGAAGAGGGCGAGGTAGGGGCGAGGTGGGAGTACGCAGAGGAGGACGAGGGCGAGGCGGAGGAGGGCAGCAACGGACGATCGGCGACGATGGAGACGTCGAAAACGAACGACCACGAGCGACTAGCACGGCGGCATGGCCGACTCAAGAAACCCTGAATTCGAACGTATTGACGCCTCGTTTCGGCGGCATCCGCAAGCCTTCCGCAGGCTTCCGCCAGCGGGCCCACCGCCGTTCTGCATCCGCCGCGTTACGCCAGCCTTCCTCCGAAAGAGAGATGCGGCAAAAGCGAGGCCCTTTCTGGACCGCATCGCGTCGAAGACGACGCCAACGCCGTCGTCGTCGCCGGCCTTGTGGTCGTCGTCGATGCCAACGTCGGTGCTGTTGGTGCCGCTGAGGCGTCGACACTCGTCGTCTCCGTCGCCGCCGGCGCCAAGGTCGTCGTCCTCTCGATCGTCAACTTCGTCGCCGCCGTCGCCGCCGCTCCCCAGGCCGACGTCTTCTCCTGCAGGCTGACCTCTTCGCCGCCGGCGGGCGCGCGCCCTCTGCGACGGCGCCGGGCTGCAGCGGCGGCGGGGCCCTGGGCGGACGACGACGGCGACGACGACAACGGCGACGACCACCGCGACGGCGACGACGAGCGCCGACGGCGGTGCTGACGCCGGCGCCAACGGCGACGACGCCGTCGGTGCGGACGACGACCACGGTGACGACGACGGCGGCAGCAGCGGAGGCGACTGCGGCGGCTGCGACAAGAAGCGACAGAGGCAGCGACGGTGACGACGACTGCGGCTGCGGCGGCGAGGGCCTCCTGGGATCATTCCCACATCCTCACGATCCCCCCCCCGCCCCCCTCGCCCATCCTCCGACTTTATTGTCCTCCTCATCGCCCTCCTCCTCCTCCCCCCCCTCCTCCTCCTCCTCCGACTCCTCCTCCTGCTCCTCCTTCTCCTCCTCCTCCTCCTCCTCCTCCTCCTCCTCATCCTCCACCTTCCGCCTCCCTCCTGCCTCCTCCCTCCTCCCTCCTCCCTCCTCCCTCTTCCCTCCTCCCTCCTCCCTCCTCCTCCCTTCTCCCTCCCTCCTCCCTCCCCCTCCTCCTCCTCTGGTCCCCCGCTGTCCGTCAGGGCGGCGGCGAGGCACCCCGCCAACAGCAGGACCCCCAGCGCGACCGCCGCCGCTCGGCGGGCAGGCAGCCAGGCCGCCGGCCAGCGACAGCCGCCTCGCCGCGATCCGCAGCCGTGGGTGCCGCCGCCGAGGCCGTCGGGCCGCCGGCCGCCGATCGCCGGCGCCGCTGGGCAGCTGGCGCCGCCGCCGCCGGTCGCTGCCGCCGCTGGCGTCGTGGGCCTCCTGTCGTTGGCGGCAGCCGCCGGCGTGGGCATTCTGCCGTTGGCTGTCGGCGTCGTCGTCGTCCCGGGGCGGGGGAGAGGAGGAGCAGGAGGAGCAGGAGGAGGGAGCAGGAGGAGCAGGAGGAGGAGCAGGAGGAGAAGGAGGAGGAGGAGGAGGAGGAGGAAGAGGAGGAGGAGGAGGAGGAGGAGGAGGGTGCCGTCAGCGTCGTCGGCGTTGGCGTCGCCATCGGCAGCCAGCTGTGTCGCCGTCGCCGCCGGGAGGGGTGCCGGCCTGCGGCCGCCACGGGGCTGTAGCGCGGGCCCGCCATCGCCGCGGAAGGAGCACGGCCTGCGCGGGGCCCCTCCCCTCGGCGCGGGGTGTGGACCGACCGCCGCGCACGCGGCGCCGCCCTCCGACCACAGTCTCCCTCGAGCCATGAAAACATCGCGACTGGCCTTTGGGGAAATGGGCCTCTGGGGGACACCCCTGGGCTTCGGGACCTTGAAAAAACGACTCAAGATGAAAAGCCGGTCCAAGGTAATTGGTCGAGACCTTTGGAGGTCGACGTGATGAAATGAGCTTGGCGAAGAAGCCAACCATATGCAGAAGTGAATACACAAGTTGTGGGTACCGTCTTCCGTGGACTTTCATATGGGGCCACGGAGTGCTGTACTGGGTGGGGGAGACACAAGCGAACTTTGCCACTGGGGCCTTCGGTGGAGCTCCCTATGGGGCCACGAAGCGCTGCACTGGGCGGGGGGGGCCGCACGCGAACGGCGCCACTGGGACCTTCGGTGGCGCTCTCTATGGGGCCACGAAACGGTGTACTGGGTGGGGGAAGCGCACGCGAACTGCGCCACTGGGACCTCGGGTGGACCTCCCTATTGGACCACGAAGCGCTGTATTTCGTGGGCAAAACGCATGCGAACTGCGCCACTTGGACTTTCGGAGGAGTTTCCTGTGGGGCAACGAAACGCTGAACTTTGTGGGCAAGACGCATGCGAACTGCGCCACTGGGACCTTCGGTGGAGCTCCCTATGGGGCCACGAGGCGCTGTCCTGGGTGGGGGGGCGCATGCAGACTGCGCCGCTGAGACCTTCGGAAGAGCTCCCGATGGGGCCACGAAGCGTTGTATTGGGCGGGGGGCTTGCATGCCAACTGCGCCACTGGGACCTTCAGTGGAGCTCCCTTTGGAGACACTAAACGCTGTACTGGGTAGGCAAAACACATGCGAACTACGCCGCTGGGGCCTTCGGTGGAACCTTCTTATGAGGGCACGAAACGTTGTATTGGGTAGGGGAGACGCATGCGAACTGCACCACTGAAACCTTCGGTGGGACTCCCTGTGGGGCCACGAAATGCTGTACTGGGCGAGGGAAGCGCAAGCGAACGGCTCCACTGGCACCTTCGGTGGAGCTCCTTGTGGGGCCAGGAATCGCTGTACTGGGTGGGCGAGACTCATGCGAACTGCGCCGCTGGAACCTTCGGTGGGGCTCCTTCTGGGGCCACGAAGTGTTCTACTGGGTGGGGGATGCGTAAGCGAACGGCGCCACTGGGACCTTCGGTGGAACTCCCTGTGGGGCCACGAAACGTTGTACTGGGTAGGGGAGACGCATGCGAACTGCGCCGCTGGAACCTTCGGTGGAGCTCCCGCGGGAGCCACGAAATGTTGTACTGGGTGGGGCAGGCGCATGCGAACTGCGCCACTGGGACCTTCGGGAAAGCTGCCTTTGGGGCCACGAAGCGCTGTATTTGGTGATGGTGATGATGACGACAACGACGAGGACATGCGGAGGGCAAAAGCAGGGACGGGCGGAGAGGATGGAGGAGGAGAGGAGAGGAGAGGAGAGGAGAGGAGAGGAGAGAAGAGAGAGAGGAGGAGGGGAGGGGAGGGGAGAGGAGAGGAGAGGAGAGGAGAGGAGAGGAGAGGAGAGGAGAGGAGAGGAGGGGAGGGGCGAGGAGAGGAGAGGAGAGGAGAGGAGGAGCGCGGGGACTGTCTCTTCAAAACGAAGACCCATCAACAGGACAGATCATGGCGCGGGGGGTCTGGGACCTCGGCCCGAGACCTCCTGGGCCGGGCCTGGCTGCGGGGATGCGCGCGGCCTCGGGGCACGACCCCGGCGCGCGCCCTCGTCCGCGCGCCCGCGCGTCGACCAGCCGCGTCGGGCGCAGCGCCGATCGGCCGATGATCATGGCGGCGCCGTCGTCTGCCCGAGGAGTGGCCCTTCGCCCGCACGGCGGGGGCCTGCCCTCCCCCCCGGTTTCCCTGCCCAGCCAGACCTACCTGCGCTCCAGGCAAGCCTCGGACACTTTGGGCGCGCGCGCGTCCCTTGCACCAGAGTGTGAGGGTGTGAGCCAGGGAAGTGAGAGAACGAGAGAGAGAGAGAGACACACAGAGAAGAGACAGAGAGAGAGGTGGTTGTGGTGGAGCCTCCAGAGGCCCGCTTCGTGAAAACAAATACCTGGAATGAAAAGCTGGTCCCCGGGAAGGGGTCGAGAGGCTTGGTGGAGGCCGGCTAGAGGAGGCCTCATACTCCTCTGTTTCCTCCTCCGCCTGCTACTTTTCATGGTTTGGTTCTCTGCCTTCAGGAGCCAGTCTTGTCGCCGCAGCTGGATGCAGCTTCAAAACTGGACTGGAACCTGCGCGCAACCTCTCGTCCCCCGTGGGTGCCTTGCTGCACCGGCTCAGCCGGCTCGACTTCTAGAGGCGGCCCACGGCGGCGATTTGTTGGCCCCGCTGCCTGCGTATCTAGCGAAGCGTAGCGAACGCGAGAGTCTTGCGCCCACCACTTTTGTGAATCCGCCCGCGCCCATTAGGGCATGGACTAAAGGCCATGGCCTCCAAAGTGTGATACTTGCGCCTTTACGCCCCTACGTCCGGCAGCCCCCACTGCTTGGCGACCTCGAACGTAACAGCATTGGCTCCGCCGCTGACGATGTTGTGCCAAGGCTTGGAGCCGCACGCAGACAGCCCTTGGAGGTGGCTGGCCCAGCACAGCTCAGATCCGCCTGCGCGCCAGCCCCAGCACTGCATGTACTGGAGTCAGCTGGTCAACGCTGGCCCCAAGAGGCCTCGAAAATAATCCGTTTCTGTCTCACCCCGCCCGCGCCCCCTCCGTTCGCAGGCCCCTGGACAGACTGCCTGGACAACTGTGGGGGCATGCTGCTGCCATATGCCTGGCCTGCCTCCGGGGGCTGCGTGTGCGCAGCCCCAAGCCTTGACACGATGTTGTAAGCTCTGTCCCGGACGTCGTGGCTGCGGAGAGCCCGCGCGCGTCCTGGGTCCCAGGACGGCTCGTACTTGGGGAAGATGCGGCAGTGGGTGTCGAGGAACCTGACTGGGTGCACCTCCTGGTCGATGAACTTCCGCTGGACGCAGATGTCCTCCGAGCGGTGCTGCTTGGGGTCCGTGCCATAGTTCCGACGCGTGACAGCGTCGTCCGCACCCATCTGCCCCTCCAGATTGGCGAAGCGCGCTTCGGCGTGCGCCTGCAACTTCTGTGCCCGCTCCTGCATCTGCGCCCGCCTCTCTGCGTAGATTCTGGTCTGAGGATACATGGGGCCATCGATTCCCTCCACGCCGTCCGGGTGCCTCATCTCCAGAGCGCGGATCTGCTTCTTATACCTGAAGAGCGCCTGGCGGTCCTCCTTCCATTTCTTCTCCCCTGCGACAATCTGCACAGCCTCGGCCCTGCGCTCAGAAGGCAGCATCAGCGCGTCGTTCTTATACAGTTCTGCAAACGCGGTGCTCACTCCGTCGCCACGGGGTTGGGGCACCACCTGGAATGGTGGGAAGGCACCGATTCCCCCGATCTCCCCTTGGGTGCGATCGGACCAAAATTTCGAATCGAATCACATCCTGGCGACAAGAGAGATCTCCAACCGGCCCAGGTAGGCGGACCCTGGGGAGGGGAAGGGGTGTGCGGTATCAGTACCTTATCCTCCTTCTCCTCCTCCTCCTCCTCCTCGTCCTCCTCCGCCAGGTGGCGATATTCGAACTCTGACCCCGCCAACCATCGACTCTCCTGAATAAATGGGGGGCCGGGGAAGAGTTCAAATTTCGCTACGTATTCGAGGAATTCCGGAACCCACATCCGCCGCCCATCGAGTTGCCCGAATCGTTGATCGGCGAGGGCAGGGTTCGGATTTCGCCGCCGATCCTCCTTCTCCTCCTTCTCGTCAGACCACCAGCGTCCCCTCCTTTCTCTGGCCCATCGGGTCGTTCCACGGGGCAGGCAGGGACGACATGTCCATCGCGGCTCCCGCGTTGATGACAGGCCGCCGAGAACGGGCCTCCGACGTGAAGCACGGCGAGGGCCTCACATTTCCATACGTCGCCATCTGGCGAATGAAACGGTCACCTCCTTGGGGGGCCTCGGCGTGCTGATAAGTAGCGTCAGTGTTACGAAGAAAAGCATCCATTCGCAATGTTGGATGGGCGCCTCGGGTAGTGCGCAATGCTGCGCTGCCAGCTGTTGCAGCAAGAGGCACACAGGCCGGCATCGTGTCGTGGCACTAGCCGTGATGAAGTGTGGAGCCAAACCGAAGAGCCACGGTGGAAAAAAAATCAACAAATTTGATGCCAGGGCAGGGATACACTTGGCCCGATCCTGCTAGAGCCTGACTCTCTGGTTTGACCCAAACGGCTATCTATATATATATATATATATATATGTGTGTATGCATATCAATGCAGGCTACCCTCGATACAACGTCGCGTTGGACGGGGCCGCAACGAGGGCCAATCAAGGCATCCAAAGTCGTGTAAGATAAATGGAGCTCTCGGCCCTTGCCCAAGCGCGACTAGTCCGCGAAAGTCTTGGGGCCAGAACCGAGGCAGGGTGCGCCCGCGGTGAGCATGCTTTCCCCCCCCCACCCACCCACCGCGGCGCCCAGACGCGAGGGGAGGATTGGCGTCGCGCACAAGGGAGATGGCGCGAAGGGAGCGGCCTTCGAAGATGGCGGGAGGCTTCTCAGAAGTCAGAAGGCAAGGCGGACCTTCAAGAAGGCTTCTAAAAGACCGGGAGGACTTCCGAGATCTCTCCATGCCAGGCTCAGAAGGGGCTCCCCCGCCGCCTCACAGGGCCGCCCTCCAGGAAGCCCTCCTGGGAGGGGCTCGAAGTATACGCCAAGTCGACTGGACGGCCAAGGAGCTCGATGTGCTGACGCCACAGCTTCCCAATGTGCGGGGCGCTGGAGCATCTGTACACCGAATTGCTTCGGCGAACTCCTGGGGCGAGCCCCTTCCTTCGACGGCCCCTCGCGCCACCCCGCCTCCGGGCGGCGAGCGAGGCGGGGAAGCGAGGAGGAGGCCTTCTCAGAAGGCGGGAGAGATTCTCAGAAGGCCCTCTGGCCTTCTGAGGCATTGTCTGTGGCTCCGTGGAAAGGCTTAGACACCTTCTAAAAAGGCCCGCTGCCTTTTGAGCCTTCTGAAGAGGCCCGCCCCTTCTCACTCCCCCCCCTGGCCTCGCCGCCGAGACTCCCCTCGCCTCGCCCCCCCCCACCTCGTGGGTGCTGAGCCTCTCGGCAGGCGGACCCGCCCTTCAGCGATGCGCCAATCGAAGAACAAGCACCAAGATAACACAACGATCAAAGCAGCAACAAAACACAACACCAAAAAGAGCGCCACACGCAATAAGCAACACCACAACCAAACGCGCAACTTAAAAGCTCGTGGGCGCCGCAGGGAGTGACAGGGAACATGTCGACCCCTATCCCCGACGTCGTGGGTTCTTTCACTTGACGGGATTCAGGGATAGACGACAGGAGGGCGTCCACCCCTGATATGGGTTGCGTCCGAGTGGCCCTCCCCCCTGTAGGTGTATCCCCGAGTTTCCCCTCCTTTTCCGAGCGGCTTTTGGGCGAGAGTTAATGGCGGACGACGCGCCTCGAGAGAGAGCAGCCCCAAATTGGGCGGCGCACTCTGCTCACCCCCTCCTCCTCCTCGTCCTCCTGCTCCTCCGCCTCCAACTCCTCCCGGCTCCTTCTCCATCCCCCTTCTCCCCCTCCTCCCTCCCCTCCTTCGTCTCCTCCTGCTCCTGCTCCTGCTCCTGCTCCTGCTCCTGCTCCTGCTCCTGCTCCTCGTCCTCCTCCTCCTCCTCCTCCTCCTCCTCCTCCTCCTCATCATCATCATCATCATCAGCATCATCATCATCATCATCATCATCATCATCATCATCATCATCATCATCATCATCACCATCATCCTCATCATCATCATCATCATCAACATCATCATCACCATCATCATCATCATCATCATCATCTTCATCATCATCATCATCATCATCTCATCATCCTGCTCCTCCTCCTCTCCTCCTCCCCCCTGCTCCTCCTCCTCCTCCTCCTCCTCCTCGGCCTCGTCCTCCTCCTCCTTTTCTCCTCCTCCTCCTCCTCAGAGTCCCTCCCCCTCGTTCTCCTCCTCAGGGCCTCCTCCTCCTCCCCCCTGCTCCTCCTCCTCCTCCTCCTCCTCTTCCTCCTTCTCCTCCTTGGCATCCTCCCCCTCCTCACCTCCTCCTTCGCCGCCTTCGCCGCATCGTCATCCCCCTCCTCCCTCGCCTCCCCCCTCTTCCCCCTCCTACTCCGCCTCCTCATTTGCCACCTCCCTCACCCCATAATCCGAAAGCCCTTATAACGGCGACGAGGCGACGATCGAAAGCAGTGCCCCGGCACTGCTTTGAACGCGTTCAAAGCAGTGCCCCGGCACTGCTTTGAACGTATGATATGATGATATGATGATGATTATGATTGATGATGATGATGATTTTTCCAGCGTACACTGTCCGCAACTGCGGCAATCAACATCATGCTCCACTTGCCCGCAACTGCGGCCATCACCAACGCTGCGCCTCGAAGCTCGCCGAGGGCGCTCGGCAGGTCGCCCGCTCGAGCCCCACTCGACTTCACGCTGAGGAGGCGAGCCCTCAGGGGCATTGTCCGCAACTGCGGCATGATCAGAGGGCCACCACTGCGCGCCATCAGCGCCCCATTCGCTCGAGCTCCAGTCCCACCAGGACCAGCCCTGCCATCTCGTGGCGGGACTGCGCGCCTCCCATGCGCCGCTGCCGCTGGCGTCCCAGGACCCAGCCGCCACTGCGGCACAAGAAGGGGTCGCATCGTCGCCGTTGGCAGCTTGCGGCGGTGGCGTGTTCCCAGCTCGCTCAGCCCCAGCGTCTCTCCCCGCAACTGCGGTTCCCATCTGGGGTCGGACGCCCTTCCCCGCAACTGCGGTGTCCGCGTAGCTGCCCTTCTTGCCGCCCTTCTTGCCGCCCTTCCTGCCGCCCTTCCTGCGTTCCAACCTCGCGGCGAGTCTTTCAGGTGACCTGCGGCACGTATTGTGCGTGAAAGCCACCAGAGGGAAGTGCGCTCCGTGCCTCGCCCTGCCGAAGGCGCCATGCCATATCTTGTCGTCGAGGTTGCCCTGCTTCACTCTGAAGGGATGGCGCACCCAATCGTCGCGTTCCCTGCGCGCCATCCTTTGCTCGAACTCCGCAACTGCGGTCAAGGATTCGCCAGATGGCGTCAGGAAGGCGCGCATCTTGTTTTCAACGGGCTCAGCCTTGGGCACGTAAGTCTGAAGCATCTTCCCAGGGCCATTCGTGTAGTCGAAGACAGGGAAAGACGGATCATGCTGGGTCGTCAAGAATCCGCCCTCACGGTCGTGCAGAACACTCAGGCCATGGTGAAGCTTGTACTGCCCAGGACAGTTTATGAACAAAATCGCCATGCTGTCTGCCCTGGGCTGGCCGCCTGCTGTCTTCCAGGGGGTCCACGCGGCGACGTCCACAGTCAGGCCGCAATTGCGGCACCAGGACACAAGCTGGAACATGCACATGTTGAAGTCCCCCATGCAGACCTTCACGTCCCATTCCCTGACGTAGGCGACGAACCAGTTGTAGAACTCATGGAGCTTCGTGACGCCCCAGTCTTGGTTGGCCAAGCTGTGGTGGACGTGCACCGCCATGACGTTGAAGGAGCCCCCCAAATGGGGCACGGCCTGGTCCAGGTGGACGCGCACCACCATCGCCCTGGAGTACTTGTTGTGCAGCTTTGGCGCAGGAGCCTCCGCAACTGCGGACTGTTTCTTCTTCTTCTTCGTTTTGGACTTCTCCTGCTTGTGGAAGAGTCTCGCAAAGTCTACGTGTTCAATGTGGCCGCCACTGCGGTCCCTCATGCCAACAAGGAGGGTCCCTGATGGCTCGCCGCCCTTAACGCACAGGTAGTTGTATTGAGTCCGACTCCGAAACCTATCGTCCGCAACTGCGGCTGCACTGTCCCTCGCGTCGTGCTCCCCACTGAGTACCGCGCAGGTCTCGTCGTCGCACTCGCAGAGGGCGATGATCTGGGCAGGGTTCGCGCGGAGCTGCGCCCACTCGTCCGCGCGTTGCGTGGGTCTAGCTGCAGTCCCTCCGAAGTTGGCCACGTAGAAGCCGACCCGTCCCGCTTCGAACTCCGTTTTCTCCTCCCATGCGTCGACAAGAGCTCTTTGTTTTTCCGACAGATTGCTTGTCTCGATGATGGGCACCCGTTTCCAGGTTCTCCGCGACGACAACACTCTCGGCATGTAGGAGTCATGTGCTGCCGCAACTGCGGCTCCCGCACCTCCCCGGGACTCAGCCTCGTCAGCGGAGGCAGCCGAGGACGCGACGGTGCTGTCGCCATCTTGCGTCCGCTGGTCGTCGTCATCATCCGCAACTGCGGCTTCCTCGTCTTTGCCTCCCTCCTCCTCCTCAGCGTTGTGGATGAACACCGTTCTGGCGAATCGAAGTCCACGGTCCATACTCCCTGAGGATGCGCTCGGGCGCGCGGGCGGCCACATGCTTGCGTCTTCGCGTGCGCCACCTCGAGCCACGGTGGCTACGGAAATGGATCGTGAATGGGCATGGGGTCGGATGGAGGGAGGAGACAAAGAGGATTCGAGGAGTGGCAGAAGGAGGGCGAGGACTCAAAGGAACCGAAAGAACAACAAATGGACTGGCGGAGAAGCAGAAGGAGGGCGACGATTGCAAGGGACTGTGAAAGGATTATTTTCACAGCAGCAGGAAGACCGCAACTGCGGTTTTGCCTCATCTCCTGCCCGCGCGGGAGCCGCTTGGAAAAACAACTTCCCTCTGGACTTCCTGTGGGTCCGCAACTGCGGCCTGCATCACGCTAGGGCTGGGATTACCAGCGCCATTTGCCCTCCCAGGGTTCTCACTGTTTCCGAATGCACGAACTGCGACAGCGCCGAACGGTTCCCAGACGCCGCGTCGTTCGCGACTTTTTGCAGCCACCCAGCAAACGTGAGCGGCCATTGCTCCTTGTGCTGCTTGCACATCTCCTCGTCCCAATGCGTCTTGAACCATGCCCACTCCCCCCTCTGCTCGTCTGAGAGGACGCCTTTTCCGCGAGCCAGGCGATCCAGAGCTGCCATCCTGTTTTTCTTGATCTTGAACTCCTCGGGATTCCACTGCGCTAGGGCGTGTTTGTTAGCCAAAGCCGTTTCCACCGCAACTGCGGCCTCC